CTGTTGGAGTGTGAGCGCAGTAATGTTTATTAAGGGACTTGAGTCCTGGCAGAGGGAAGGGCAGTAACTCTTAAGGAGGGGTAGGGATGTTGCAGCTGGAAGGTATCTGAATTGTGATGTCAGGACATTTCTGGAAAAACATGAAGAAAGACGTTCAAATTTTTAACCTGTAGGATTAAATACCCAGAAAAACCCAATAAAATCTGTGCATCACTGGGAACTGTCTTATTTTTATTGATTTATTCTTCTTTCCACAGAATGTGATCCACAACAGTTGACTAACACCCAGGTATATACTGCTAGGTGAACAGGGAAAGCAGGTGTTAGTAAACATGCCCAACGTGCTGGTGTCGATCTCTGGTCTCCTAGAGTGTGAGCCAAGGACACTATCAACTGTTTTCTTCTTTGACTGGCCCTACCTTGGTAGAAGACAGCCAGTGTGGTAAAAATATACATTTCTTCTTCTTTCAACAAACTGGCCATATCCCACCAAGGCAGGCAGGCCCAAAAAGAAAAACAAAAGTTTCTCTTTTTAAATTTAGTAATTTATACAAGAGAAGGGGGTACTAGCCCCCTTGCTACCAAAAATATATGTATGTATTATATAAAGTATCCTCTTTATGACTTGATGAAGTTTGACTCAGAGTGAAACATTATGCCAGAAACAGCTTGATCTATATACAGTGGACCCCCGCCTAAGAATATTATTTCAATCCAGAAGTCTGTTTGGGTGCCGTTATAGACCGAATTTGTTCCCATAAGGAATATTGTGAATTAGATTAGTCCGTTTCGGACCCCCAAAAATACACCTACAAAAGCACTTACAAAAATACACTTACATAATTGGTCGAGTTGGGAGCTGATCGTTAGGCGGGGGTCCACTGTACAGTGGTACCTTGAGTTTCGAACAGCTCCCAACTTGAACAATTATGTAAGTGTATTTTTATAACTGCATTTATAAGTGTATTTTTGGGGGTTTGAAACAGACTAATCTAATTTACATTATTCCTTATGGGAACAAATTCGTTCGGTATCGGCACTCGAACAGCCTTCTGGAACAAATTAAGTTTGAAACTCGGGTACCACTGTATTATATTAATACGTAATCACTGACTTTTTGGGTTATCCTATGTAATTTACACTATATGATAATTGTACTTATGTGTACCTGTGCCTAAATAAACTTACTTATAACTGTTGGCATTATGCTTTTACTGGCAGTGAAAGCTTTCCTTACAATTTCTAGATCAGTGTTCTTGATAAATATCACACTTGTGCAACATTTGCATATCTTTATTCTGGAAATGTTTCATTTCACCAGCCAGAGGCTTCTTCAGTCCAATGCTGAGAATGGTGGGAGTTAAGGAGGTGTTTTTGGTAATCAGTCCCTCAACCTGTTGTACAAATGTCTCATTTATCAACCTGTTAATTTTCTTAAACTATTTATTGAAAAATCAGCATTCTTGTTTACCTTAAATTACACACTAAAATATTACTAAAGTATTCTCACTTATTTTTAAAGTTTCTTCTACCTATATCTTGCTCGTTATTTTCTAACTGTCATATTTCTATCTTCTTCATGCCGACATAATGGTGTCATATATGTAATATTGTACCATCGTTGTACTATGTAACACCTTAATGGCATTATGCTTGCCAGTATTTTACAGTTTAAATTGTTGAAGGGTATGTACATGACAGACCCATTAAGGGAAGAGCCTTGATGCTGAAGGGTTCTCGATCCAAAGAATTGGAGCTCACTTTCCCTTCCTTGGCTCAAACTTGATTTCCACATGGACCCCAGATGCTATATGATCCCTTATGGGTTTAGCACTTCCCCAGTAAACCCTCAATTTACTGGACCTCAATTTAATGATACGTTTATGAGACACAGTCCACGAGGACGAATGATTCACAAACAGTGAAACAGAATTGTTCGTTGTTACAATCATGGGAGAACAATCCCATCTACTGCCACCACAATCACCATCACCAGCCACCTGTTTCCCTCTATTAGTTCAGTAAACTGAGGGATTTACCAATAACAACTGACTTAACAGATGAACTACAATGTGGAATTATTCAACACAGCAGAATACAATTGGCATACAGTGGTACCCCGAGTTTCGTACTGATACCAACTTGAACAATTATGTAAGTGTATTTTTGGGGGTCTGAAATGGACTAATCTAATTTACATTATTCCTTATGGGAACAAATTCCTTCGGTAACTGCATTCGAACAGCCTTCTGGAATGAATTATGGCCGAAACTCGGGGTACCACTATATTTAAGTTTTCACAACCATACAAGAATACTTTAATCCTTTAGACAGGGACTAAAGTAAACTCTCGGTACATATACACCGAGAATAATACAACTCTCAGTGCATGTATCCTGCAAGTATGTTAATGAGAACAGACAATTTAAAGTTGAAGTTTAGTCAACTCTCAGTTAATATTAATAACTTGAAGTTAATTCTGTACTTATATCTCAACACAGCCAGGAGCGGTGACTCGACCCCTGCAACCATAAACAGGCAAGTACATATTTATTGCATTTTATTCCTTCATGACTAATAAAGTAACTGATGGGAAAAATGTATAAAACAAGTTTTAATAAATCCTATTGATTCACCTCTCTCACAGTTATTCTATACACAGGCACTCCTGAATTTACACTGGGGACACATTCTGATGAACACATTGTAAGTCAAAAATATCGTAAGTCAAATATGATATGCAAGATTAATAATAAATAACTACTGTCACTGAGTAAGTAAATAAACAAACATAGCCTCTTTTCAATTAGCGATGTACAGTACTCATTTGACGACGACTCGGACTTACGACGAGCTCTCTGATCAGTATGCATATCTAAATAATGTATATTAGAGCTGATTTCCTCTATTCTGTTTATTACAATATACAGTACATCACTGTATAAACATTTAAAAATATGCCAGAAATGTTATAAATGGTGCAAAAGTGACATTAAAACAATATCAAAGATGGTTAACACAAACCCATTACCATTATAGTATGCTCCTCACTTAGTGACAAATTCATTTATGTACTGATGTGGTCTTGGGAACGGAATTCCATTGTTAAGTGAAGAGAGGCTGAATTCTATGAATAGCTAAATACCAGTATATAGAAGAGTAAATAAATGAGAACAAGTTATAGACTTACCACCTTCATGCTGGGTAATTATTTTAAGTATCATCTCCAAAGTAATTGATTTTGCACCATTGTAAAGTCGAAACATCTAAAAGTGAACCATTGTAAGTCAAGGAGCACCTGTAGTGCAATTTTCCACAAATGTAACTGAAAAAAGTCCATCCACAACTGAATAACACATGAAAAAGCCCTTGTAGTACATGTTATTCAATTTTCAATGCATATTTACAATTACATTTACAAAAAAACACCCTATATAGAGGAGCTCTAAGTTTTACAAGAACATACAGTATAAAGCAGGTATAACTATGATAAATGTTAGTGTTGTTATATAACATGGATAAAAAAAATTACAAAACACAATTTTGCTATTTTAATATTTAAATACATACCTGTCATTCATTTTAGTAAAATCCATGTATAATACAGTATAATATTAGTAAAAATTAACACATACATCTCTTTAATTGGGAATAATTTCTGTTTTCTGCTTTGCTTAGTGTGTACACATGATTTGTGATTTTTTAAATTAGATTTATCACTCAGATTTCTCTTGCAATTATATATAAAAAGGTAAAAAACTACTGATGGACATTTTAAGAAAGTAATGACTGAAAATATATTGAAAAATAAATGCCAACAGGCAATGGTCAATGCAAGAGTTGCTCTTCAACAAGAAATACATCTATTAATCTGCCTTACTAATATATTTGGTATTAATGCAAAAATGATCAGCAAGTCTATCACATCAGTTAGTGTTTTATATGCTATATACAGTTTTTTTTTTTGGTTCACCTACTCTATCTTCTTTGACTGAGACTACAGTAGTTTATAGTATGTTTATAATTACTGCCATATTAATATCTTTGGCATTAACGCAATATTGTTCAGAAAGTCTGCGTCGTTTTATGTTTATTAGAAATGAGAATTTCATTATGGATTGAGATTAATTGGATAAATTCTATGTTCATTAGAGAACAGTATTCAAATCTCTATTAACTTGGATTAAGTCTATGTTCATTAGAGATCGGTATTCAAGTCTCAATTACAATTAAGTGGATTAAATCTATGTTCATTCGAGATCAGTATTTAAGTCTGGATTAGAATTAACTATGTTAATTAGAGATCAATATTCAAGTCTTTATTAGGATCAACTGGAGTTAATTTATAATAAATTTGAAGTTATTTATGACTAAAATGACTCCAAATATTGTCTTGCATGCATGTTGTCACTGTGTGTACATGTTATGTTAATTTTTCTGTTTTCAAAATACCAGTCATTTCCCACCAGGCAGAGTGACTTGAAAAAGATGAAAACCTTATAAATCTTTTCTTCTTTTTACATTTAGTGAGTTAAACAGAAGATGGGGTTACTAGCTCCTTGCTCCCAGGATTTTAGTTGCCTCTTACGACACACGTGGCTTACGGAGGAAGAATTCTGGTTCGCTTCCCCGTGGAGGTGTTATGATATGTCCTACATTATTGTACACTAAATATGGTGCACTCAATATTTCAGTGCTAATGTTCTGATAGAAATATTACTGTAAAATTTTATGTTTTATTTTTGAAGGTGACTACGAAATATAGTACTGTATCTGTGAATAATGCCTCTTGTAAATTTAAGTACAGCACTATACATAAAATATCCATCAAAATAATGCCATACAGGGGAATGAGAATTTAGAGATTGTGTATTATGTTCAGTTATATACCCAATAATGTAAAATTTACGAGTTAGTAAACACATTAGCCAAACACATCCCCTCCGAAAAATATTAGGAAGAACACTTAGCACAATACAAACTATCACTAGGCAACATACTCTTCTGAAGCAGTCTTGATATTCCCATTAATATCACCTCCAACCCCAGTGTGGACATTAACCCCATTAATGCCATTCTTGAAGAGGGTAATGTGGGTAAGGCCATTAAGATTTCTGTTGATGGCATGGGCTGGCGGAGAGTGGTGCGAGGCACGACGGTGTTCCTCGCGGGCTCTACGTGCTATCTCCCTTATACGTCTCTCTGCTTCTTTTGCCTTGCGTTCTGTTGGTAAATTTTAATATTAAATAATGTATAATAATGCCAACTTAACTGGAGTACACACTTACAGAGTGACAATATAGGACCTATAAGTGATACAATATAGGGCCTATGTGATACAATATAGGGCCTATAAGTTACATAATATAGGGCTAATCAGCAGTGGGACCAGAAAGGTTACTTGATAAGAGCCTCCAGAACAATGGGGGCCTCAAATTTAGCTATAGTACTGATTAATTTTCTTGCAATTTATAGCACATTTTACTTTCTTTTTTTTTTTTAAGGTACTGTTTCTTGCTTTCATGTGTCATAATATTTGCATGATACATGCTACATATAGTTTCTTCAACAAACTGGCCATATCCCACTGAGGCAGGGTGACCTAACAACAAAAATGCAAGTTCTTATTAAATTTAGTAAGTTATACAGAAGGGGTGACATTTAGGTATTCATCCGGAAAGACCATTTTTATGCAGAGAATTCTGGGAAAACTTAAACTTAGCTCAAGACTAAAAGAGCAATAAATAATTGTTTAAATATATGGTCTCTATGGAGTCATAAACAATAAATTTGGGAAGTACACGAAGGGCAAACAAGCATATTAACACGTTATATTTAACCCATTTCTTCTTTCAACAAACCGGCCATATCCCACCAAGGCAGGGTGGCCCAAAAAGAAAAACAAAAGTTTCTCTTTTTAAATTTAGTAATTTATACAGGAGAAGGGGTCACTAGCCCCTTGCTCCTGGCATTTTAGTCACCTCTTACAACACGCATGGCTTACGAGGAAGAATTCTGTTCCACTTCCCCATGGAGATAAGAGGAAATAAACAAGAACAAGAACTAGAAAGAAAATAGCAGAAAACCCAGAGGGGTGTGTATATATATGCTTGTACATGTATGTGTAGTGTGACCTAAGTGTAAGTAGAAGTAGCAAGACATACCTGAAATCTTGCATGTTCATGAGACAGAAAAAAGGACACCAGCAATCCTACCATCATGCAAAACAATTACAGGCTTTCGTTTTACACTCACTTGGCAGGACGGTAGTACCTCCCTGGGCGGCTGCTGTCTACCAACCTACTACCTAGGATTTAACCGATTTATCATACATTAATACTGTACAGCAAACAACTACTGTGGCAATGCACCATGCAAAAACAAATGTGTATATATAGAGAAAGATGGCAGTCAGCAGGATTCAAAACCATGTCAGGAAGGTGGACATGCTTGAGGCCCATTGGTGTGCCCAGGCTTGTAAACCAAGCTGCCTAGCTTTTGAGGCATCTGTGGCCGAGTGGTCTACAGCGTCACTTGGGAATCTTGCCAGCCTTCCTGACATAGCTTCGAATCCTGCCAACTGCTCTCTTCCTCTGTACATACTACTGTGTTGTAATAAGATCACAGAAAACAGGTGATATCACAATATGCAGAACAACCACTGTGAAAAAATAAGTGAAATTCCAAGCACTTTCGTGATTTCTCACAGTTCCTTGATAATGTGAGAAATCACGAAAGCGCTTGGAATTTCACTATTTTTTTACAGTGGTTGTTCTGCACATACTGAATACATATTGCAATCTTTCATCAGAGTCGTATAACTAATGTCTTATGTAATATGGTACAGAGGAAGTAAAATGTGCTACTAAAGGTGATATAAATAACAAAAAAATTGCTAATTATTACCTTGCTCCTGCCAAGCAATTTCATCCTTTTCAGCAGACTGTTTGTTGGTAGCATCAGTAACCTGCTGGCGCGCTGCTTCTACCTGACTGCGGAGGTGTTCCAAGATTTCCTTCTGCCGACGTTTCTTGGCTCTCTCCAGAGTGGCTGTCTTGAGAGCTTCCAGTGATCCCTCTGATAACTGTTCAAAACGTTTGATTTGTGCTGCTACACCGACCTGTTTAGTGGTACCAGAGTCAACATAAATATGAATTCTGAAAATGTGTTGGCTTATCCTTCATACTGATTATGAAAAGGTATAAAGTACACAGATACACAACTAACCCGCAAATAGGAGAAAGAAAATTTGCGACGATATTTTAGAGTGTGACCAGTTAATGGTTCAAGTCGGATCGAAACATCATCACAAGTTTCTTTCTCCCATGTGCGGGTTAGTGCTTTGTTCCAGTCACGGTATTGTGCCTTTTTGTTCTTTAAAGTACAGGTCAGCCATCACTAATCTGGCAATCAGTTATCCGGTTCTATCAGTAATCCGGCACTAATTTTGGCTATCATAATTTCAAATTTCATCATTATGCTGATTCAGAAATTGTGCAGATGGTAGTAAATCCACAGGAGCAAGCCAGTGGAGGAGAAAGCAGTGATGACAATGAGGAAGAAGTACTAGAAAGAGTTTCTATTAATAGGTTAATTAAGTGAATTCTAACCTAACCACTCTGTAATCCGGCAAACTCACTAATCCGGCACACTACAGGTCCCAGTGATGCCGGATTAGTGATGGCCGACCCGTACACAGATTTTCTATGCTCAAATTGTCTGAGTAAAATACTTACCACATTTGAAGAGAGTGATGGCATCTGTTGATTTTTTTCATTTTCTTCTGTTTCTACAATAAACAGAGGATAAGGTGCTCTTGGAGATGATGGGGATGGTAATGATGGTGGTGGTGATGGGTTAAGGGATGATAAATTAGATGTGGTGGAGGAGACAGAGGAGGGTGGAGAAGAGCCATGGCTACTATGACTATTTGTAGTATCACTAGTGTTTGGGGTAACAATTGATTGAGTGGAAGACTGGGGAAGGGGACTGAGGGTGAAGGTAGGCTTGGGCGTGAGAATTGGTGGTTTTACTGTCAAGGTGGAAGAAGCAAGAATAGATGAAGGCTTAGCAGATGCTTCCCACAATGGCAAGCTGTTCAATTTCTTTGCAGAAGTAGTGGGACCATTTCCATACGATGAAATACTGAAAGCAGGAGGTGAAGGAGGTAAAGAAGCTGAGGAATTTGATAAGGAAGATAATGATGATGATGCAGATGGTGACTGGGACAATTTGGAAGTGCCAGTTCCTAATGAGAATGAGGTTGGAGCCCCGTTTGTCAAACATGTCGTATCATCAACAGAAAATTTGTGCTGCCGTGACTCTGCCTCCTCCATGGCTTGTATGTGTCCCTCCATCTCTACAGTTGCTTCCTGTAAGGATCTTACAACTGCCTCTCGCGCTGGATCTCGCTCCTAAAAAATAAAAATAAGATTAACTTAATAATCTTTATTTCTACAAGTACGTACATGATGCAACTTATACAGACCATAAATGATATCAATGACATACTATACAGAAAGCCCCTTGTTATGCAGAGCATTTCAGCAAATTAGGTCAATTTTGTCCCCAGGATGTGACCCCACATCAGTCAACTAGCACTCCTAAGTAAACAGGGACAGCAGGTGTCTTAAGGAAATACGCCCAATGTTTCCACCTGTACCAAGGATAAAACCATGGAGACTCAGTATGCTCAAAACTTATAATATGGTGATCAATCAAGTTAAAAAAAAAGTTCTGAAGAACTTCAAGATATTAAATCATCAACCTACGTAATTTACACACGTTAAACTATACATGTATACGATAATTGTATTTATGTGTACCTATGCCATAATAAACTTACTAAAGCTGTATAATATTGATGCAGATTAAAATATTGCTCACAAATTTGCCTTCAGTTCAATTACCTAAACAACTTCTGAACCTCTGTAAAATTCCTTGCCCTTTGGACACATCCTTGGAGAGCAAAATCATAGCTACACAAGGGTCATTAAGGCTGCATGTCACCTTCACGTCAATCAACAATCATTAAAATTCCTTTAATAGTTTTGTACTGTAGTATAGGAATGCCTCTGACAAAACAGCGATGTGGTAAGTGATTACGAAAGTGTTTCTTCTTTTTTCAGGTCACCCTGCCTTGGTGGGACATGGCCAATAAGCTCTTGGTATATATACACTGGGAGATACCTCTGGGTATATATGCACTCTCACAGTACATGTGTGATGATTACCTTTTGCTGGGCATTTCTTATTGCTTCCTCTTCCATGGCTTGTACTGTGGACCTGCTTAATCTGACCAACTTATCCAGCTCCTCCTCAGCTGCACGCCTGTAATATTAACATTTCATTAATAATAATAATATGTAATGATAATAATAATAATAATAATAATAATAATAATAATAATAATAATAAATAATGGGTAACTAAATTGTAATGAGCACTTGTCAATGCTCAATAACCCACATGGAGACAAACTCACTAGATTAATTGAGCTGTATAATTCAACCCCCTTTCTGGGATCCTCTTTAGCAGAAGTGTTTCTGTCTCCATGTGGGATTACCAAAACAATTATCCAGAGGGCTGAGGAGTGGTTACTGAGGTGGTTCAGAGATGTAGAGAGACTGGAACAAAATAGAATGACTTCGAGATTGTATAAATCTGTGGTGGAGGGAAGGGAGCGGGGATGGCCTACGTAAGGTTGGAGGGAGGGGGTAAAGGAAGTTTTGTGTGCAAGGGACTCGGACTTCCAGAAAGCATTCATGAGCGTGTTAGACAGGAGTGAATGGAGACAAATGGGCTATTTAGGACTTGTGCTGTTGGAGTGTGGGCAAGGTAAAATTTATGAAGGGATTCAGGGAAACCTGTCTGGACTTAAGTCCTGGAGATGGGAAGTAGTGTCTGCACTCTGTTGCAGTTTTATAACTGTAGTGTAAACGCGCCTCTGGCAAGACAATGATGAAGTGAATGATGAAAGTTTTTCTTTTTCAGGCCACCCTGCCTTGGTAGGAAACGACCAATGTGTTAATAAAAAATAAAAATAAAAACTCATAATGTTTGAGGTGTAAAGACTTTTCCACATTTTTTATTCATGTCGCTATCACAAGTGCATAAATACTTTTTTATAATGTCGCTCATACAAGGATAATATACTACCTGATTATTAGAGCCATGATATATAATACTGAGGACCATGAGAGATAGATACACATTCTCCCATTTCTCTCTGCAGAATAGTAAATTTAAAATTGGGGAAAAAGTGGAGGAATGAAGCCACTGTGTGGCAAAACGTTTCCATAATAAATATACCCAAGCGTTGTACATGTGTCTAATTTATTAGCCTGTCTGTTCTCCCAACCATTCATCTAAAACCCTTCATAATACTGACGGATGATCGAGCCTTCACTGCCCCTTGCTCTGAATGGCCCACATAGGTTTAGCGCTTCCCACAAAACAAAATCATCTCCTTCCATTATGTATTCTACCAGCAGATAATTCCACGAGCGGAATATTTATGAGGTAGACAGAGCTGGGTAGAGGAGAGGATCACTGGTGATAGATACCATAACAACACAATAATACATCTTAACACCTCTATTATCCAGTCAGTGTCAAAAAAAAAAAAAAAAGCCATATTCGAAAACTTGAAAAGATATTTGTGTACAGATGAATTTTATTAATATAAAGTTACATTTGGGGGTGTATTCTGGGAGTCAACTGTACAGCTGCTGCTGATACTTGAATATTTACCAAATATGGTAAGCTAACTTTTTTTTCTCTCTCATTGTTTTTTCTTTCACAGGAATCTTCAGCTGTGATGCAATAACTTCACAACCACCCAGATCATTCTCATTCTCTCTCTCATTCTCTCTCATTCTCTCTCTCATTCTCTCTCTCATTCTCTCTCTCTCTCATTCTCTCTCATTCTCTCTCTCATTCTCTCTCTCTATCTCATTCTCTCTCTCTATCTCATTCTCTCTCTATATCTCATTCTCTCTCTCTATCTCATTCTCTCTCTCTATCTCATTCTCTCTCTCTCTCTCATTCTCTCTCTCTATCTCATTCTCTCTCTATCTCATTCTCTCTCTCTATCTCATTCTCTCTCTCTATCTCATTCTCTCTCTCTATCTCATTCTCTCTCTCTATCTCATTCTCTCTCTCTATCTCATTCTCTCTCTCTGTCTCATTCTCTCTCTCAGGCGCTGATCCACCAGGAGGCCTGGTCACAGACTGGGCCGCGGGAGCGTTGACCCCCGGAACTCTCTCCAGGTAAACTCCAGGTCAAGTTTATTTAGTACAGGTACACACAAATACAATTACCATATAGCACAAATTACCCACAATAACCCTCCAAAAACTCATACAAAGTGACTTATTTCCACTGGTCAGTTTCTTATACCTCCTGATAATACCCAACAGAGACACTTACCAACAAGTCACCTTACACAAGCTGCCTCTGTTTACCCAGCAGTAGACAAGTCATTGTTTTAATAAAATATTATAAGTAGCTGTCTAACTATTTTTTCTTTCTGGGTCACCCTGCCTCGGTGGGATACGGCTGGTACATTAAAAGAAGAAAAGAGTAGCTTTCTGCAGGAAAAAAAGTGAAATAAAGAGAAGGCACAACCAACATAGCTGTGCTGCTGTAATTACAAATAATGAAGTTTGGTAATGTCAAAACCATTGCCCTTCCTTGTAAATATTTTGAAAATATATGTTTGGAGTGTGTAAACAGTGGAAATTTAAGTATATGGAGCCCAGAGTCAGGTTTGGTGAATGAGGAGCCCAGAGTCAGGTTTGGTGTACGAGGAGCCCAGAGTCAGGTTTGGTGAATGAGGAGCCCAGAGTCAGGTTTGGTGAATGAGGAGCCCAGAGTCAGGTTTGGTGAATGAGGAGCCCAGAATCAGATTTGGTGAATGAGGAGCCCAGAGTCAGGTTTGGTGTATGAGGAGCCCAGAGTCAGGTTTGGTGTATGAGGAGCTGGGAGTCAGGCTTGGTGTATGAGGAGCTGGGAGTCAGGCTTGGTGTATGCAGAGCCCAGAGTCAGGCTTGGTGTATAAGAAGCCTAGAATCAGGCTTGGCATATAAGGAGCCCAGAGTCAGGCTTGGTGTATAAAGAGCCCAGAGTAAGGCCTGGTGTTTAAGGAGCCTAGAATCAGGCTTGGCATATAAGAAGCCCAGAGTCAGGCTTGGTGTATAAGGTGCCCAGAGTAAGCCTTGGTGTATAAGGAGCCCAGAGTCAGGCTTGGTGTATAAGGAACCCAGAGTCAGGCTTGGTGTATGAGGGGCCCAAAGACAGGCTTGGTGTATAAGGAGCCCAAAGTCAGGCTTGGTGTTTAAGGAGCCTAGAATCAGGCTTGGCATATAAGGAGCCCAGAGTCAGGCTTGGTGTATAAGGAACCAAGAGTCAGGCTTGGTGTATAAGGAACCAAGAGTCAGGCTTGGTGTATGAGGAGCCCAAAGTCAGGCTTGGTGTACGAGGAGCCCAGAGCCAAGCTTGGTGATAAGTTTATTTAGGCACAGGAACACAAATACAGTACATAAATTATCATACACAGCATATGTGTAAAATAACTAGGATAACCCAAAAAAGTCAGTGATTTCATTCCACTGGGATCCTTGTAATAACTAGTGTTAATACCATGAAACTGGTGATGTTTGTGTGATATTACCCAGTCTGGGGTAATGTGAGATTCCCTAGAGGATTTCTATAATTTTAACCTCTCCCTTAGTGTGTACTGGAAGCAGTGCAGAGCCTGGGGGAGGCTCAATCCTCAGTCTTGATAGGTAATGGCCATCTTCTATCAACCTTGATAGATAATAACCACCTATCAAGGCTGAGGGACTGGTTATTACCTGTCAAACCAACACCAACCCTTCTGCTACACCAAGCATTGTTACCATTGCTATTCGAATGATAAAAAGCCTACTGAGCAGGCGACACGTTTCCCAATTGAGATACTTTGTGTTAGATGTGTCTTACTCAATTATTATTGTGGCTGTTAACCCGGGAGGGCTTAATTAACCCCAGGATAACCCAAGACACCACTTGTGTCAGCCAAGTCATTAGATATTAAGATTCCTCCCGTGTCGACAAACTAATCCTGTGGGTTTAGTGCTCTGTAATAATAATAATAATAATAATAATAATAATAATAATAATAATAATAATAATATTACAAATCAATTTAGCCATAATCAAATATTTTTTATTGATCTCTTCAGTAAGCATCTCTGTATAACCCTTACGGGTTTAGCGCTTTCTGATTACAATAATAACATACATCTCTTCAATATAAGAGTATAATTGTTGCTCCATAAATCAGTAAGATCGACACTTTATATCTGGTGACAAATATGTTTTTTTGAGGACGAATCTGGGTAATAATGTGTTACCTCCAGGTCTGCCCTTGTGTGTATTTATTTATGGTTGCTGGGGTCGAGACTCAGCTCCTGGCCCTGCCTCTGTGTGTGTGTGTGTGAGAGAGAATGAGGGGAATATGAGAGAATGAGAAAGAAAATGAGAGAGAGAGAGAGGGAACATTTCCACTGGTCTCTCCCACAAGGTTTGTACCATGTACTTGTTTAATGGCGTCAGCCAGGCATGACGCTGATGAAAAAAATCAACGAGAGAGAGACAGAGGGAGAGAGAGAGAGAGGGAGAGACAGAGAGAGGGAGACAGAGAGGGAGAGAGAGAGAGAGACAGAGAGACAGAGAGAGACAGAGAGAGAGAGGAGAGACAGAGAGAGGAGACAGACAGACAGAGAAAGAGACAGAGAGACAGAGGGAGACAAGAGAGAGAGACAGAGGGAGAGAGGGAGACAGAGAGAGACAGACAGAGGGAGAGAGGAGAGAGGGAGAGAGACAGAGAGGAGACAGAGAGAGAGAGAGAGAGAGAGAGAGAGAGAGAGGGAGAGAGAGAGAGAGAGAGAGGAGGGGAGACAGAGGACAGACAGAGAGGGAGAGAGAGAGAGAAGACAGAGAGAGAGACAGAGAGAGGGAGACAGAGGGAGAGAGGGAGAGAGACAGAGACAGATAGAGACAGAGAGAGAGAGACAGAGACAGAGAGAGATATAGAGAGACAGAGAGAGATATAGAGAGACAGAGAGAGTGACAGAGAGAGGGAGAGAGAGAGACAGAGAGAGGGAGACAGAGAGGTAAGATCATGGTGAAAGGTCAGGAATGGCCACAATAACCTGGTCAAAATTAACTCAACCTGATTAAAAATAGAGAATAAAATTTAAGGCAAAATAGAAAGAGTTAAGATATTGACGTCGACGACCAAGTTAAGAATAAAATATGGTAGTGTAATGGTAGTGTAATGGTA